GTTCAACTTCTTGGCATCTTAGCTTTCCTGACTGTAAAATGAGCACCTTGTTATGTCTTCTCTGCACCCACTTGGACATCACCTTCTTAGCTTTCCAGGACTGGTTACAACAGATGCCCTAACCTTAGTTTGACTTCAAATTTCAGCTTGGCCCTCACCTGTGCTGGTCCCCTGGTCTGCCTAATCTCGTCTTACCACTGCCTGGATCCTGACACAGTGGCAGGTCCACACTGTCAAGGTGTCTGTTCCAATGAGGGACAGGAGCAGTACAGGTTGGCAGAAAGGCCTTGGGGGCACAAGGCAAAAGATCTAGCATCTCATTTCCACTGTTTTACCAGCTGGCTGTGTAGCCTTGGAGAATCACTTCCCCTTTTGAGCCTTAGCTACCTCACCTATCAAATAAAAAGCTTAAACTAAAACAATACTCTCCAAAGCATGATCTGAAGATCACTGCTATATGCTATGCTAAAAAAGGGGGGCAGGAGCTTCTAAGACTACATGCATTTGGGAAAAAAGCTAGTTGAACAAAGGTAGACAAGTTTTCTTAATGCAGGACTTCTCAGTGCCTTTAATGTCCTTCCTTGCATGCAGATTTTCTAGGAAGGAGGTGTAGTATGCAGTTTCATTGACCACAGTTCTGTGGTTTTCATGATATTTAAGGACACAGTTCAGAATTGGCTTTCATGATATTTAAGGACACAATTCAGAAAACAATGAGAAAATTACCTCTAGGTTCCATGCAACTTGAAAAGTCTAGAATTCTTTGTTATTTTATTTATGATTGTGATTATGATTTTGGTAAATATTCTCTGCTATAATCTGAATGTTTGTGTCCCCCTCAAAATTCCTATTTTGAAATCCTAACTCCCAATGTGATGGTATTAGGAGGTGATGTCTTTGGGAGGTGATTAGGTCATAAGGGTGGAACCCTCAGGAATGGGACTAGTGCCTGATATGGTTTGAACCTCTGTCCGTGCCAAATCTCATGTTGATATGGAATTCCCAGCATTGGAGGCAGAGCCTGGTGGGAGATGTGTGGATCATGGAGGTGGATCCCTCATGAATGGCTTAGTGCCATCCCCTTGGTGTATTCTGAAGTGTGTGGCACCTGCACCTCCCACTTTCTCTCTGTTGCTCCCACTCCTGCCATATGAAATGCCTGCTCCACCTTCACTTTCTACCGTGATTGGAAGCTTCCTGAGATCTCACCAGGAACAGATGCCTGTGCTATGCTTCCTGTACAGACTGCAGAACTGTAAGCCAATTAAACTTCTTTTCTTTACAAATTACCCAGCCTCAGGTATTCCTTTACAGCAATGTAAGAACAGACTAATACAATGCCCTTAAAGAGACCCAAGAGAGCTACCTTGCCCCTTCCACCATGTGAAGACAGCAAGAGGTTGCCCTCTATGAACCAGGAAGCAATCTCTCACCAGACATCAAATCTGTCAGTGCCTTGCTCTTAGATTTCCCAGCCTCTAGCACTGTCAGAAATACATCTCTGTTGTTTATAAGTCACCCAGTATATGGTATTTCATTATAGCCACCTAAAAGTACCAAGATACTCTTCCTGTTTGCCCAGACCATCATGTTAAGTTTCTGTATTGAAAATGGGAGCCATGATCTCGGCTCCCTGAGCAGCTGCAGCCTCCTGCTCTCCCTCCCAGCTCCTTCAGCCTCATAGCTGGACCAGCTGCTGATGGGCAAAGACCAGTCTTCCTCCCACCCTTGCAGAGGTGAGAAGCCTCTGAACCCAGCAGTAGCTCATGAAGGCTTAGTATCAGAATGATGCCTTCTCAGGCTCCTTCTCCTCACCTCCCACAGCCCTTTCTCTCAGCTTTCAGGCCTGGCTTGCCAAGAATCACCTTTCTGAAGGTGGTCTCTGCTTGTGCCAGACCCCTTAACAGACAGCAGAAACCTCGGAGGCAATTCCAGAGACCTGTTTAGACCTCCCTCCAGCTTCGAGAGGTAAAGAAAGGTGACCCAGTGCAAAACTGCAGTAGAGGGTGTGCAGAACCTTCTGTGCAGAGCTCACTGGGGGCCTTCAACAGTGTCCTGTGATTTCTATGGGCCTTCAACAGTGTCCTGTGGGCTCTATGAACCCAATTAGCTATCCCCATTTCCTATTCTCCATGATTCTCTCAAGTGAACAATCAGTGCCTCAGTTTCCCCTGTGGCTCCTCCCCCTGATGTTTCCCCATCACTGCTGACTCCAGATTCTCTGACACTCTCCAGTGGCCTCCTCGTGGCCCTCAAACTCCCCAACACCTTTGATACCCAAGACCCTATTTCTTATGTGTTTATTTTTATGATCTAACTTTTTACATAGGTAATAAAGGCACGTGGTTAAAGAAATTCTAACGGCCAGCAGGTAAAATGGAAAGAATAGGTCTCCCAAGCTCCTCCTTGTCTAGAGGCAACTGTTATGAAAAATTTCTTCTGATACTTTCCAGAAATAATCTATGAATAAACAAGCATACATTTGCATATCATATGTTCTCTCTTAACACAAATGGGAGCATATCATACACCCTTTGCATCTTGCTTTTTTCACTGAACGATACCTCTGACAGATTTTTCCATCACGTAACTCTTATATCCCCTTTTTTGCACAGCTGCTTGGGATTCCATATACCGGAAACATCATAATTAATTTAGCCAGCTCCTTAGGGATGGATATTTACATTGCCTCTAGTATCGTATTATCTCAAACATTGATGCAGTGAATATCCTTGTGTGCTGTCACTGTGCATATGGGCAGGACCCCATCCTAGAGGCAGTTCTGCTGGGAAGAGTCCTGTCTTCAGAATTCCCTCCAGCCTTCCCTTCTTGGTCCCTGCTGCAGCTGGCTCCCTCACATGCTCCTGACTTCAGCTCCCACTTCTTGGTTACCAGAAGCCATGTCATAATCTCCCAGGCCTTTCTCCTGGGCTCTGTCCTGCCCAGGAGACCTTCAGCCCAAGCTCAAAGACCTGTATCCTTAGCTGCTGCAAAACAGTATGGTCTAGATGTCCCCTCATCCCCTCAAACTCAAATTATCCAAAGATGAACTATTCCCCCATCCCTTCGATTTTGGTCAATGGGATAGTATCTTTCTGGGCTTGTCACTGGATACCTAGGAATTCTATTTGATACTTTTTTTAATTCCTCCTTCTCAATCCAATCTGTTACTGGGTCCTGCCTGCAAACTGCCCAATTATTTGTTCTGAATAGCAGGCAAGCTGGCCTTCCCCACTTCCCAGTATCCATTCTTGCCCTTCCTACTTCCTAAGAGAGCCGTGAATGTGCCCAGGAATTCATTCCTCCAGGAGAGTTCTTCAAGGGAAGCTGGAGGCTATCTCAACTCAAGACGGTGGATTCTGGTATGTGTTATTAGTCCAAAGGTGAGTATGTGACTTAACTGGATGGAAGAGAAAGACTTCTATGGTCAAATGAAAAGTTTTAGCTTTTCTACTGAGTGCTGGCGAAAGAAGGAAGGAAGGAAGGAAGGAAGGAAGGAAGGAAGGAAGGAAGGAAGGAAGGGGAAATGCATGCAGCCCAGTTGCTACCAGCAGGCATCTTAGAACCAAAAGAGGAAGCAGACTTAGGAGTAATGACCTTCTGGACAATTGATTGGACTGAAAACCCAGAACCAGCCTCACAGTGAATTTCCACTTCTGTAGCTTTATTGATCAAGTCACTTTCAGCTGGGGTTTTCTGTTACTTGCAGCCAAAAGCATCCTAAGGGATTCAGTCCTATTTTCCACCACCAGTTCCCATAGCAAGCACATCATCACTGTAGATC